ATCATCATCATCATCATCATCATCATCATCATCATCATCATCATCATCATCATTATCATCATCATCATCATCATCTTCAACAACAACAACAACAAAAACAACAAAAATATAGCATGAGCAACGGCAACAAGAAGAACAAGAAGAACAACAACCACAACAACCACAACAACAACAACAACAACAACAACAATAACAACAACAGCAATCATAAGAACAACAATAACACAACAATAAGAACAATTTCAATAATTGCAGCAACAACAACAACAACGATAACACCGACAACATCAACAGCAACAAGTAAGCAAATGATAAGACTGGCGTGGGCATAAACTGTTGGAACCACCGAGAAATAGTGTGCTGTCATGTCATTTGGCACGAAATTAAATGTAGCTTTTTTCGCACATCGGGTAGTGAGCTACTTTAGAGCTAATTTCCCACCTTTGATGAAATCTTCAGACAACACAAGCGTCAAGTTGGATGAAGACGAAGGAGGTTCTGGATCTGAAGAGCAAAATAGCAGGTCAATTCAACGTTCTTTGTTTGTCACCTCTGTTCTGATATATTTTTTCAATCTGCTTTAGTTTACTTCATTCTCAAGTTATACCTATCAATTTCAGTCTCTCTCCCCCCCCCTCCTTTTTATTGTTTTGCCCCCATCCATCCATCTATCCATTCATCCACCAACCCATTCATCCACCCATCCACCCATTCACCCATCCACCCATTCACCCATCCACCCATCCACCCATTCATCCACCCATCCACCCATCCTTCCATTCATCCACCCACCCATTCATCCACCCACCCATTCATCCATCCACCCATCCTTCCATCCTTCCATTTATCCATCCACCCATTCATCCACCCACCCATTCATCCATCCATCCATCCATTCATCCACCCACCCATTCATCCACCCATCCACCCATCCACCCATCCATTCATCCATCCACCCACCCACCCACCCAAGTGGCGTCGGTAGTCTAGTGGTTAGGCTACCGGACTTGTAATCGTGAGATTGCGGGTTTGGGGGTTCGAGCCTCAGATCGGTCCAACGCTGTGTCCTTGGGAAAGACACTTTACACGAATTTCCCATCTGGCTCACTCCTTTCGGAGACGGACGTTAAACTAGGAGGCCCCGCTCCTTTAATAACCTAATTGTGTTGATAGGGGCGTTAAACCCAAACCATTTCACCATCCATCTATCTCTCCATCTCTTCATCCATCCATCCATCCATCCATCCATCCATCCATCCATCCATCCATCCATCAATTCGTCTGCCTATCTATCTATCTATCTATCTATCTATCTATCTATCTATCTATCTATCTATCTAACTATCAGTAGAACTGATACATGTAGTAATATTAACACAATGACACAATGATTGAAATAGATTCGATTCTTGTATACAATAGCTGCAGATATTTATTTAGCCAGCTTGGATCAGCTTTTAATACTTTCATTGCCGATTCTAAATGTCGTTCTTCTTCGGAGCTGAGTATGTAAAGTTTTAAATAATGATCAATCGAAATTGCCAGCGAAGGTAATTAATGTGGGACGGAATGCGTGAACGAACCAATGGAACACAAAATGAATATGTATGTCGATTGAAAGACAACAAACAACAGCAAAAACAGCAACAAAAGAACCCCCAAAAACAACAACAACCAAACAAACAACAAAACAACAAAACAACGAAAACAAACAAAACACAAACACACAGACACACAAAAACCCGAGACGAAGAGTGGGTGTGTCAAGAAAAATCACCCAAATTATAATAATAATATCTCTACTTCTTTACCCTTCATTGAGTCGTAAATTTCCAACTGAATTTTCACTAAATAACTAAACAAAGAGTCCCCGCAAGAACACCCGCCAACCACCCTCTGTTAATCGTGCTGACTATGAATTATGTTCCTCTACTGTATCGTTAGAGCTCCCGAGCTCACTGCACTCCTCGTGCCCACAATTGATACGGCTGGACCCGAGACTGTATTACGAAAAAGACGCACAGGACCCACTCAAGACTCCCAGAAAACTCCGGGGACTTCCTACAGCCGCCAAAATAGTTTGACAGAATATCCAACGGAGACTGAAGGGCTGGAAGGTGAAGAGCCAGAAGAGAATACCGGGAGTGATATTTCGTTGGAGGAAAAGAAAAAATCAGGGAAAGATTCCAAGAAGTCTAGCAAATCTGGTAAAAAGGTAGGCCTACCATGGTTTTGTCTAATTTTCTGTCTAATCAAACTTCTGTTTAATACAGTACTCAATCTAAGAATCTCCAAACGATTCTAAATGTTTTATTAATAATTTCTTCACTTGTGGTTGGTTTAATATTACTGTTTTCACCCCAAACATCGCACCCGCATTTGAGCACTCCATCTAACCTTACATCACACGCTGGATGTGTAGGGCCTACAAATTCGCCCCAGGAGGGATGGCATCGAACTGTAAACTAACTCTGCGTTTGTCTCTTCTACCGAATTTGCGGGACGGACTGAATTTTAACTGGTGTGGTTGCATCACAAGGGTACATAATGACAAAGGCGGGGGAACTCGGTCAGAGACGGAAAAATATCAACTTTGGACAGGTAAAGGGGAGGAGTGACTGGATAATCATCGTAGATATTGAGACTTACGTTAGGATAGTAAATGGAAAGGGCATGTCTCATGCCACTGTGATTGGTCTTCACGGTTGACACTCGTTGCTCGCCATAAATCATAAACCTACCCCGGGGTCACGCCAGTTCATTTTGGAGTAAAGTGAGGCTATTTTGCCAGTTGTAATCCTAAACATGGGTCACCGTGATGCGTCGGCTAAGATCCCATTGCGCCTAAGATCCCGCATTTTTTTTGCTCCCGAACACCGGGATCTTAGGCGGAGACTACTCTACTAGATCTAGTAGGATTTTGACCAATTAAACAACCATACCACTGGAAGGGACAAATACACTAACTCGTGTTTACATGGTTTCCAGTGGCAGATTAAACAATGGCTGTCATTGTTGCGATTCAATTTTCGTCCTTTTATGTTATATATTCTTTTAAAACACACACACACACACACACACACACACACACACACACACACACACACACACACACAC